GAATGCCGGGACGGTCGGTCCCTGCTCAAATACGGGTTCCTGGTGTATACATTCTTCGTTGCTTCCCTGGGAAAGCGGGGAACAAGTATACGCCACGCTGCCCCGACGTCGTTAAAGAAGTCGTGGGATTGAGAAGCCGCCCGCCACTGGTAATGTATCTGCTCCAGTTTCTGGAACGTATACACTACCAGCGGTGGGCTGTCAGTCCCAGGACTTCTTGAGGATCGAGGACGATGCGCTGGGGTAGTGTGGCGTATACTTTTTGTCCCCGATGTCCCGGGGAAGCCACGAAACATGTATACACCATTGTCCCGTATACACCAGGATCCGCTGCCCAGTGCACATTCCAATGCAGGGCCAGAAAAGCGTCGGTGTATAGAGATCGATTCCCTATATCGGCCTACCAAAGAGAATGTTCTAAGCACCTTTTGTGGTCTACGCGAAATGTTCTCTTAGAACGTTTCTGGTGGAGTTTGTTGTGTTTCAACACATTGTTTCTGCGTTCTAAGAACATCGTTGTTATTATTGGAAAGAGCGTGTTCTACCGCTGCTGGCGGAAAACCGGGGGGGGTCACTACCGGTTCGAACCCCTCCCCCCCCCCCCCTCCGGAAAACCGGGGGGGGTCACTACCGGTTCGAACCCCTCCCCCCCCCCCCCGTCATCATGAAAAGGGGGGGGGGTCACTACCGGTTCGAACCCCTCCCCCCCCCCCCCCCCCCCTCTCCGGATCCGGAAAACCGGGGGGGGTCACTACCGGTTCGACCCCCCCCCCCCCTCGAAAACCGAGTGGGGGTGCGGACAGTGGTGGGGACGGTGTTGGTGGGGACAGTGGTGAGGGGACAGCGGGACAGTGGTGGGGACAGTGGGACAGTGGGACAGTGGTGGGGACGGTAGTGGTGGGGACAGTGGTGGGGACAATGGTGGGAACAGGGGGGGACAGTGGACAGTGGTGGTGACGGTGGTGGTGGGGACAGTGGTGTGGGGACAATGGGAATGAGGTGGAAACAGTGGGACAGTGGAGGGTACAATGGTGGTGGGGACAGTGGTGAAGGCGGTGGCGAGGACGGCGGTGGGACAATGGGACAGAGGTACAGTGGGGACAGTGGTGGGGACAGTGGGGACAGTGGTGGGAACAGTGGGACAGCTCAGTGGGACAGCGGAGGAGTCAGTGGGACAGTGGGGACAGTGGGGATAGTCGGGCAGTGGTTGGGGCCGTGGAGACAGTGGGGAGAGTGGAACCGTGGTGGGAACAGTTCTGGGGACAGCGGGGACAGTGCGACACTGGTGGGGCCACTGGTGGGGACAGTAGGCGCGGTGGTGGAACCAGTGGGGACAGCGGTGGTGAGGACAGTGGTGCTGGGAACACCAGTGGGGGATGTGATGCGGACGGTGGTGGGGACCAGGAGTCGTTTGCTGGCGGTGAGTAGGGGAGGGGGGGTGGGGGGGGTTCGAACCGGTAGTGACCCCCCCGGTTTTCCGGATCCGGAGAGGGGGGGGGGGGGGGGGGAGGGGTTCGAACCGGTAGTGACCCCCCCCGGTTTTCGAGCGGGAGGGGGGGGGGGGGGAGGGGAGGGGGGGGTTTTGCCGGGGGAGGAGGGGGGGAGGGGGGGGGGGGGGGGGAGGGGGGGGGGGGGTCCAGCAGGGGGGGCGGGGGGGGGGGGCGACCCCCGGGCTCCGGAGGAAAAGGTTGGCAATTTTCTACAGTAAAGCGGCGGTGGATCACGCTCTCTCTATTGTTGGAACATTCGTGGGTTCTAAGACTATTTCGTTGTAGGCCTAGCAATGCCAGGACGGTCTGTCCCTGCTCAAGTTTCGTGGATCCCACCTGCCCGCCCCCTCCAGTCGGCCCTGGGCCATCCACGCTGCATTTCTTCGCCTGGGGTCCAGCCACTCGGCCCCCCGCGGGACCGGGACGTCGTCGGCGCGGCCATTCGTTTTTCCTGTCTCGGTGCTGTGCCTCTTCCACTTCGTGCACTGCAGCTCCTGCTTCACATGGAGCGTTCCAAAACGACCTTGATTTCAAGGGTCGAAGGCGTTGCCCTTGGCGGAAGGCCGGCGGAAGGCGGCGGAAGTAAAACGAGGCCGCCTCTGCTGGCGGAAGGCTGTCGGAAGGCGTCGGGAGTAAAAGATGCGCCCCCAAGAAATGACATTATGTTTGGGTTCAGGGTTTTTCCGGAATCGGCCATATGGAGCTCCACCTGCTGCCCCAGTGGTGGGCGTCCTCGAATGCACCGCCCCGTGTTCCATCCCTCCCGCGGCGCGCATCGTGTGAGGAAAAATCAGACCTTGCGCTGCCTTTCAAATGCGAGGCCCCTCCAATCGAAGACAAACAAAAACACATAAACATAAACTTTTGGCGCTCCGCGCGTATTTCTTGGATCCGCGCCAGGGCCCCCCGGCGGCGCCTCTGGCGCTGCCCCTTGCGCGCTCCGCGCGCCAGGGAGGGGGGTCCGGCGCGAATCCAAGAAAATCCGAGCGGAGCGCCGAGCGTTCTTCTTCTTCTTCTTCTATTCAAGTCCCGGCCGCTTGCCCAGGGCCAGCTTCTCCTCCCGAGCAGTAGACCAATTCCGGGTGTGTCCCCCTACAGGGGGATTGTCGACGAAAGAATAAAAAAGTACCCCAAAAACAACAGAAATAGTCCAGGGACTATTTTTTCAATTTGTTTTAACCCTTTTGGGGCATTTTGGGGATTTTTTTTTGTTTAAATAATTGTTTCGTCCAAAATCACTCTGTATAGGGGGACAGGCCCGACATGACAGTAGAGCGTGGAGCTTGGAGCCGCGTTCTTCTTCTTCTTCTGTTTCTGTTTCTGTTTCTGTTTCTGTTTCTGCGTTCTTCTTTTTCTTCTTCTTCTTATTTTTCTTCTTCTTCTTCTTCTATTCGAGTCCCACCCGCTTGCCCAGGGCCAGCTTCTCCTCCCGAGCCGCAGAGCGTGGAGCAGGGAGCCGCGAGGAGGCGCGCGAGAGAAGACACCGCGGGCGTGCGCCGAGGCTCCGCCGCGCGCCTCGCCCGCGGGAGGGCCTCCGGCCGACGCGCGCGCCAGGCAGGCAGGCAGGCAGCCAGGCGGGCAGCTGCTCGTCTTGAGTCGGGCGTGTGCCTCTGCCCTTGGCATCGCTCGGGCGTGTGCATTTTCCCTTCGGCGAGGGTCCTTGATATTTGGCGAAAAAAAACACGACGAAACCGTCAACAAAAACACAGGGAATGGACGTCCAAGCGATGGCGAGTGCCACAGGGGGAATATGCTCAGAAATAGTCAAAACATCGTCTGGGGACGATTTGTCGAGTGTTTTTGTTGAGCATCTTTTGTTGAGCATTTGGTTTACTCTTCTTTGTGTTTCGCCCAAGGTCCGCCTGTAGGGGGACACGCCCGACCCAAAGTCAGCTTCTCATCCTGGGTCGCTCTCTGACCGTCCCGGGGCCCTGCGAGGGCCCCCGGGAGACCGAGTCCCGAGATAACTGGCCAAGTGGCCTTCTTCGAGGCGTCGGAGGCCTATAGGCCCAGAGCGCTCTGGAGTGGGGTTTTGCCACGCCCTGAAACGCTTCGCATTCGTCGTTCGAGATCTGAAGACTGTTTCTTTTTGACGAACGAACGACACACACCCATACCCATAGGGAGGTCGTTGGGAAGAGGACTGGCTATGGGTATGGGTGCGGGTTGTCGGACCCTGGGGAACGCTCCCGTTCGAGCGGGGACCCCCATCCGACAACACGCACCCATAGCCCTCTCCGATCCCCCTATGGGTTATGTGTGTGTGTGTGTGTTGTAAGTCCGTCATTTGTTGTAGGGTCGGGCCATGACCTGGCTTATCGGGCTTGCCCGCCCCTCCCCCCCAGGATAACCTCACCTTGCCGGCTGTGCAAGTCCGGGGCGGTGGGGCGCGGGCATATGTGCAGGGCTGCCCGCAGCGCGAGGGGCAGGTGATCGGCCGACCTCCTCCTCCTCCCCCCCCTGGGATGACCCGGGTTATCGCCGGTTCCAGAAAAAATTGTCTCCTGCTCGGGTCCAGAACCTTGGCATCGCTCGGACGTGTGCATTTCTCCTTCGGCGAGGACCATCGAGGAGCATCCTTGATCATTTGGCGAAAAACCATGACGAAACGGACAACAAAAACACGGGGAATGGACGTCCGAGCGATGGAACGCCCTGGACCGAGGTCCTTCGTGGTCGCAGCACGCAGCCGTCTCCGCGGCCTCGCGGGCCGGGCCCCTCTGGCCGCGGCCCCGCGGATCTTCTGGGCTCTCTGTGTCGCGGCGGCCCCGCGCGGAGCTTGCCCGGGCGGCCGCGCCTCCGCGGGAGGGCGCCCCCGAGCCCGGGCCGCGAGGGCGCGGAGGTACGGCAGGAGCGCGCCATGCCGACGGGCGGCGGCTTCGACGCGTGCGCGGTAAGGCTGGACGCGCCCGCGGCCCAGAATCGGCCCGTCGTTGAACGATCCAGCGCTCACTCGGGGGCGGCAAAGAGGGGGGGGATGACTAGGGGGTGGTGGATATCATGGCGGGGGCCATGATGTTTCCCCAGATTTCGTGGCGCCTCTTCTTGTTGCATGACGTCCCTGGCCCCCACGCTGGGCCGCGCACATGCCGCCGGTCATGATTTGCACACCCCCCTCTTGGACACCCCCCTCTTGGCCGCTCCCGATTCACGGAAGGCCCGATGGTTTAAGTTTGAACGATCCCCGCGGCGTCGACGCAGGGGTCGACGTGATGACGCCAACCTGCCGCATGTCAGAGGCGACGATGGGCGAGTAGCCCAGGGGAGAGCCATACTTGTATTCGGGCGCGCCGTGATCTATGTCTTTGAAAAGGCTCCCGGGTGAATGCGTGCAATGTCCACCCCTGGGCCATTCGCCCTTCTCGCCGCCGCCGGGTATGGATACGCTCGCCGCTCGTGAGTACCCTCGCTGGTGCTGGTGCTTGCCGCGTGTTGGAGGTCTGGGAGGCCCCGCCGCCGGCCGCGGCGGGGCGTCGGGGGGCGCGCCGCGCCGCGCCCCCGCCGCGGCAGGCGCCTGGAGCCACAGCATCACCGACACCCAGACCGGGAAGGTCATCGAGATCGTGCTGCCTCGGCGGGGCCTCGCCGAGGGGCAGGAGCCCCCCAGTTCCTCCCTCCGACCTCCCTGTCCTCCGTCAGCCCTCCTCCCTCCTGCCCTCCTCCCTCTCGTCCTTCCCGCCCCCACCCTCCTCCCCTTCCTCCGATGGGCTGCTGTTGCTTCGCTCCCACGTGCGTGGACACTTTAGCGTCATCCGGCTTCCGGCTTCGGCGCTGGTCACGTTCATGCTGGGCGCCGTCCCCTGGTGCTCCGAATCTCGTTCCCGTCCGACTCTGCGAATAGAGAGGGACTCGGCACAATGGCACATGACTGGGGGGAGGGGAAAGGCGACGCCAGGTATGGCGCGTACGTGTCTAGCTTGTACCTCCCCTCCTCATCCTCCCCTCCTCCCTCCTCCTCATCGTCCTTATCCTCTCCCTCCTCCTCCTCCTCAGCATCCCCCCCTCTTCTCCCCCCTCCTCATCTCCTCTCATCCTCCTCCCCCCCTCCTCATCGTCCTCTTTCCCCCCCCCCCAACAAAAAAAACACGGAGGACCGCGAGGACCCGTGGGACGGGGACGCCGACGCGCAGGGCGTGTCGTCGGACGAAGAGCTGGACGACCTCGCGGCCTTCCCTGCGGAGCTCGGCCGCGCCGCCGCCGCCGTCGACCGCCGCTGCTGTCCGCCGCCGTCCGCCGCCGTCCGCCGCCCGTCGTGGTCCCTCTTCGCCCTCCGTCGTCGTGGTCGTCCTCCGCGGGCCTCCGTCGTCGCCGCCCCTGCGTTTGTTCTTTCTCGTGCGGGCAATGTCTATCCACATCCAGTGCGTCTTGGAGTTTCGGACTCTCTTCCCAAGAAGCACGAGGCGCACTGGATATGGATTATAGTCTGCCTCCAAAAGGCTCGATGTTTGTCCATATCCAGTGCGCCTCGGCCTTGCGGTGCCCCTTCCAAGAAAGCCCAAGACGCACTAAAGATGGATTATAAATGTGGCCCGCATCTCGCCCTCCGGCGTGGGCCCCCGCGTCGTCGCCCCCCCCCCCGCTCGCCCGTGGCCGTGCTCCGTGTGGTCGCCCTCGCCCTCCGCTTGGCATCGCTCGGGCGTGTGCACTTTTCCTTCGTCGAGGACTATCGAGGAGCATCCTTGATCCTTTGGCGACAAAAACACGACGAAGCCGAACAAAAACACAGGGAATGCGGGCGTGCGCCGAGGCTCCGCCTCGCGCCTCGCCTGCGGGAGGGCCTCCGGCCGACGCGCGCGCCAGGCAGGCAGGCAGGCAGCCAGGCGGGCAGCTGCTCGTCTTGAGTCGGGCGTGTGCCTCTGCCCTTGGCATCGCTCGGGCGTGTGCATTTTCCCTTCGGCGAGGGCCATCGAGGAGCATCCTTGATCCTTTGGCGAAACAGCCACGACGAAACCGACAACAAAAACACGGGGAATGGACGTCAGAGCAATGGCCAGTCCGTCGTCGCCCTCCGCGGTCGCCCTCCGTGCGTCCGCGGGCCTCCGCCCTCTTCCGCCCGAGGAGCCCAGCGCGGCCCTTGCGCTGGAGGCGGCGCTGTCCCTCCAGGCGGGGCCCTCGCCGTCGGCCTCGGCGTCGGCCCCGGCGTCTCCGGTGGCGTCGGCGTCGCCGGCGGGGGCGCCGTCGTCCACGGCATCGGCGGCGTCGGCATCGCCGGCGGGGGCGCCGTCGTCCACGGTATCGGCGGCGTCGGCATCGCCTGCTTCCCCGGGCCTCCTCGAGGAATGCAAGAATCACGACGGGAGGTTGTTTTTTGAGGGCTCCTCGGGGCCTCTGGGGGGCCTCGTGAGGGCACCTTGGGGCCATCTTAAGACCTATTGGGGCCTCTTGGGCGCCTCTTGGGGCCTTCTTGGAGGAGATCGATCAAAGAAGACGGGAGCTTCAATTGGCCTCGCCCCCTCGGGCCCCGAAAATCGCCTCTTGGGGCGCTCTTGGAGCGCTCTTGGAGCGCTCTTGCGCGTTCTTGGGGCCGTCTTGGAGCTCTCTTGGAGCCCTCTTGGGCCTTGTTGGGGCCATCTTGAGGCCTCGGATAGCCATCGGAAGCGGAAAGTTGAGAAAGCAAACAACAATGATTTCCCGCAGGTTTTGGACAGATTTTGGCATCTTCGTTGCTTCCTTCGAGGTCTCGGAGGCTTCTTGCAGCGTTCTTGGAGCGTTCTTGCGGCATCTTGGAGGATCTTGGGAGCCATCTTGAGCGATCTTGCGCTATTTTGACCCATTTTGGAGGTCGTCTTGGGCTCTCCGAGGCCCTCTTGGAGCCATCTCGGGCCATCTTGAACGCCCCGACCGCTCGCGGAACGCCCCGTCCAGGTCCAGGTGGAGGGGGTTGCGGGAGGGGTAAACCCCTCCCCGAAGGGGAAGAGGGAGAGGTGGAAGAGGAAACGCCTTGGACCACCTACGCCCAGAGTGCTGGTGAGATTACCACCAGTACCGAGCTCGAGGATCATCTTCCCCCTGTGGAGGCAACCGCGTGTCTTGGTGTTGGTACCCCTGTCCAGGCCTCCAATAGGAGATCGAGGTTCGAGGTTCGAGAGCACGTCGTGGGGCTTCGGCGGGCCTTCGAGTCGCCCTCGTGCCCGCGGCTGGGCGCAGCTCGAGAAGTTGGTGGGGGCGTCGTGCTGGTGGGGTCCACTGGCCGGCACGGGCTGGTCCTGTGGTCGGCCCTGCAGGAGGCGAATGAGTTGGCGGGTGATGATGATGAGGATAATGATGATGATGATGATGATGATGATGATGATGATGATGATGATGATGATGATGATGATGATGATGATGATGATGATGATGATGATGATGATTATGATGATGATGATGATGATGATGATGGTGATGGTGATGGTGATGGTGATTGTGATGGTGATGGTGATGAAGACGATGATGTTGATGATGAAGATGATGGTGATGATGCTGATGCTGAGGATGATGCTGAGGATGATGCTGACGATGATGCTGAGGATAATGCGGAGAATGATGCTGAGTATGATGCTCGGGATTCCGAGGATGAAGAATAAGGAGGATGAGGGTGAGGACGAGGATGTTGATGCTGATGGTGATGATGATGATGCTGCCGATCGTGATGACGCTGAGGATGATGCTGATGATGATGATGCTGATGCTGAGAATGGTGCTGAGGATGATGCTGATGATGATGCTGAAACTGATGCTGAGGATGCGGAGGATGAGGAGGATGGGGAGGATGATGAGGATGAGGGCGAGGATGATGATGCTGATGATGCTGATAACGATGATGCTGATACTGATGCTGATGCGGATGAAGATGCTCATGATGATGACGATGATGATGATGCTGATGCCGATGCTGATGCTGATGATGAAGATGATGCTGGTGATGATGCTGATGCTGGTGATGATGACGAGGAGATGATAATGACGATGCTGCTGCTGATGTGGTTGATGCTTCTGTTGCTGCGGATGCTTGTCATTATCTCGGTCATGGTAATAGTCATGGTCATGGCCATGGTCATGGTCATCTTGATGATGACGATGATGGTGATGATGACGAGCATGATGATGGTGATGCTGCTGTTGCTGCTGATGATGATGATGATGGTGGTGCTGTTGCTGATGATGATGATGCTGGTGATCACCATGATCATGATCAGTATCATGATCATGATGCTGAAGATGCTGCTGTTGGGGGTTGTGGTGATGAGAATAATCACGATAACGACGATGATGATGCTGCTGCTGATGATGATGATGATGATGATGACGATGATGCTGCTGATGATGATGAGGATGATGATGGTGATGACGAGGAGGAGGAGAAGGAGGAGGAGGAGGAGGATCAAGGGCGTCCGCGGTTCGATCGGTTCGGCTGCGTCGCGGTCTGTTGCATCTGGTCGGCTCGCACTCGGTCTGTTTTCGCGTCGCTGCCCGCTCCGCTGCTGACTCCTAGGTCACGTCTGGCAGACCCGGCCTCGGTCGGTCCTCGGATGGTCTTCGTCTGCGGTGCCCCCGAGGCTGGAGCGTCGGGTCCAGTGCCCTGGGGCCCGGTGTCCGCGGGCCCCAAGGGGCGTTGGATCCAGGGGACCAGAGTATCCAGAGGATCCATACAGCGGAGGCCCATGCCAGGGAACACCCCGCCTTGCCTATGCCAGGGAACACCCCGCCTTGCCTACAGAGAAGAACCATGCCAAGAATGTCCATGCAGTGGAGGCCCCTGCCAAGAAGCACCCTGCCTGCCTCCAGGGTGCCCCCGGTTTTTGTTTTTGGTTGTTCTATGGTTTTGGCTGTGGGAAGCGTGACGTGCCCACACCAAAAGTCCATGGACGTCCTGGGGTCTCAGGGCTGGGTTTCTTGCACAAGGTTTCTTGTGGTCGGGCCCCCACTGTACGTCATGAGCTTTTGCGCCATCGGGGATGCCTGTCCCAGGGCGCCCAGCAAGTCTGTGCCCCGACGAGCCGCCGTCGGGGTACAGAAATCATTTTCCAGCCGCGCCGTGGCGGGCGTCCTGGGCGGCGGGGCACGTCCACGGAGCCCGTGCGCCGCTGCGCGGGAGTCGCGACGGGAACAACTCCACGAGACATCCCTGGGGTCTTGGGGCTGGGTTCCTCGTGCAAGGCTTCCTTGTGGACTGGCCTCCACTGTATCCACGGTCCCCCCTTGGCTTCTCGGGCGTCGGCGCCCCCGGCGGCAGATGTGCAGACTCGACGGCCTCACACTTTGAGGAGGAGGAGGTGGCTCGGCATCGCTCGGACGTGTGCATCTTTGTTTCGCCGAAAACCATGGAGGAGCATCTAGGGGAACAGAAAGTGACACAAACATAAAAATTTCGGAGGTCCGCGCGGATTTCTCGGATCGGCGCTGGGGCCCCCCGGCGGCGCCTCCGGCGCCGCCCCTAGCGCGCGGAGCGCGCCAGGGAGGGGGGTCCAGCGCCGATCCGAGCAATCCGCGCGGACCTCCGAGTTTTTTATGTTTATGTCAATTTTTGTTCCCTTAGCATCTTGGGTTATCGTGCGGAAGAAACTTCACGTGCGAAACCGACACGTGCACGTGGAATGGACGTCCGAGCGATTAGCAAGGTGGAGGAAGAGGGGAAGGGTCATCATGTCTGGGCGCCGTGGAGAAAGCTTGGGAATAGAAGACACGGTGGGCGTTGTCGCCTCGTTTTTTGTTGCGGAGGTCTCCCATGCGGGTCGGCCCATCTCGAGAGATGCGTCAGAGAGCTTCGGCCAGAAGCTCTGTAGTCGTCATGTTTATTTTTTGCATAATTCTTCCCCTCGTGCTGATGCTATTGCGGAGAAGGCGGAGAGAGGGTACAGAGTTCTTCCTGACCTATTCGCACTTGTCATCGTTGTGGTCGTCATCGTCATCCTGTAGTGTGGGATGGCGATTTCAAAGAAGCCTTTGGAGTGGGGGGGGGACTCACACAGCATCGCCCTGGGCGATGATCGATCAGTTGTGTTCTGGACCTGCTCGTCACTGAGATCCAGTGATCGCCCCTTCCCAAAAAGATCTCCCCCTGCCAAAGCCATGGGTTGTTTTTCATCGCCCCCGCCCCGGTGCTCTTTCTTGATCGCCATCCTACACACTGGGGCCTCTGCCAGGTGTGCAGGGCCCACACCTATACACCACGACCACCTCCCTCACCCCCTCGCCTCCCCCCAGATAAGGAGACAGGAGCAGGAGGGCAGAGGAGGGAGGAGGCATCGACGCGGTGGTGGCGCTACCCATAGATCCGATGTCGTGATTTTGTCAATACGGGGTCCCCGGAAGCTTCGACCCCTTCCCCAGGACCGGCTGTCCATCCTGGGTCGTTTTTTGTCGGTCCTGGGGCCCGGCGAGGGCCCCTGGAGGCTGAGAATGGCGCAAAACCTCAGTCGTGATCTGTTCAAGGCGTTCGACCTCTGGGTGCCTTCCTGGGCGCCTCCTGCCAGGTGGAGGCCACGCTGCGCACCTTCGACGCCCTCCCCCACCAGCCGGACCGCTCCCTGGCGCACCAGGCGCACCAGGCCCACGAGGCCGCGGGCCGCCACGCGCCGGGCCATAGGCCGCCGCCGCCGCGCGAGCGGCCGCGGGCCGCGCCGCCCGCGGCGTCGCAGCGCGCGGCGGCCGCGGCGCAGGACGCCGCGGGGCTGGCGCAGCGGCAGGCGCTCCTCCTCCTCCCTCCTCCTCCTCCTCCTCCTCCTCCTCCTCAAAGTCCTTAACTCCTCCTCAAACTCCTCCAACTCCTCCTCCTAATCATTCCTCCTCCTCCGCCTCCTAATCATCCTCCTCCTCCTCCTCCTCCTCCCTCCTCCTCCTCCTCCCTCCTCCTCCCCCTCCTCCTCTCCTCCCCCTCCCTCCTCCTCCTCCTCCTCCTCCTCCTCCTCCTCCTCCTCTCCGCCAACTCCTCCTCAAACTCCTCCTCCTCCGCCTCCTCCCCCTCCTCCCCTCCTCCTCTCTCCCCCGCCTCCTCCAACTCCTCCAACTCCTCCTCAACTTCCTCCTCCTCCGCCTCCTAATCATTCCTCCTCCTCCTCCTCCTCCTCCTCCTCCTCCTCCTCCTCCTCTCCTCCCTCCTCCTCCTCCTTCCCCCTCCTCCCCTCCTCCTCCTCCTCCTCCTCCTCCTCCTCCTCCTCCTCCTCCTCCTCCTCCTCCTCCCTCCTTCCCCTTTTCCTCCAGCAGGCCTGGCTGGCGCAGCAGGAGGCGCAGCAAACGCGCGAGGCTCACGAGGCCTGGGCGGCGCTGCAGCAGCAGCTGCCGCGGCAGGAGATGCAGCGGGCCGCGCCGCCAGAGGCGCGGGCGCCGCAGCGGGCGCCCCCCGCGCACGCCGCCCGGGCCGCGCAGGAGCAGGCGCAGCAGGCGCAGCAGGCGCAGCTGGCGCAGCAGGCGCAGCAGGCGCTGGACGCGCAGCAGGCGCGGCTGGCGCTGCAGCAGGCGCAGCAGGTCGGGGGGCGCGAACCTGACCACGATGCTGTGCTGGCAGCCGCCACCGCGCACAGTCTACAGTGGCCATCCTTCGGGACAGGTTCGCGAGCGTGAGAGGTGCAACCACAGATGCACGCCAGGTTTCGGGCGGAGGCCCGCATACCTTGGTGTGCATCTGTGCGTGCGGCTCCCAGCAGGCCCGGCGGGCGCAGGACGCGCGCAGCGCGCAGCAGCGGGCGCAGCTGGCCCAGCTGGCGCAGCAGGAGCAGGAGCAGGCCCTCCATGGGGAGGGGGGGGGAGGGCGGAGCGCTCAGCTGTTCGCATCCGATTACTGGGGCGGGGGGGGGGCAGCGTCCCCCCATCGCCCGTCCAGTGCCGATGGGGGCCGCCGCGCTCCCCCCTCTTCTCCCGAAGAAGAGACTCGCGTGTGGCCAGGGACCCAGGTGAGGGGACCCGGTTAGTGGTAGGGCCCTGGAGCCTTTGAATTGGCCAGAAGCACTACTCCAGGTTTGCCATAGCTGGTGTTTTTTCGGGTGACGGCAGTTCTGGTTAGTGGAAGTGGGACGGGGGGGCGCCCCCGGTACAGATCAGTAAACCAGGTTCCACTAAACCCAGTTCTGCCAACGCCCGAGAGACGCCCACACAAACATAAACTTTTGGCGCTCCGCGCGGCTTTCTTGGATCCGCACCTGGGGCCCGCCTGGCGGCCCCCTCGGCGACGCCCCTGGCGCGCCCCGTTCGCCAGGGAGGGGGGCCCAGGGCGGATCCGAGAAATGCGCGCGGAGCGCCACAAGTTTATGTTTATGCCGTTAATTCCTTCTTCTAACGCTGCGGGCTGGCTCGGCGCGCGTCGGTCCGCGTTTTGGCGGACGTGCCGCGCCAAACTTGCTGGTACGGATGGGCAGTTTTCCCAAGGGTGCCTTCGCATCCTTGCATCCTCGGTCCATCCTTGGTCACTGTCGTCGCCGCGCCCCGCTCCAGAAGCTTTGAAGTGGGTGTTTACGGTCCTTGCATTTCTGTCGCGCATCCTTATGATACGGGCCGCTTGTACGTGCCGAGCTTCCTGACAACACGCTACGTGGTGCGTGCTGCGTATCGGGGCAGCCATGGAGCAGGAGGCTCCCTGCAAAAGCCCGGCCGGACCCGCGGGAGGGTCCTGCCTCCTGAGTCGGGTGTCAAGAGACAAGGGTCAATGCAAACGGGGTTCAGTCAGAGCGCCAGATCTTTGACCTGGGCTTGGGTGCAGGATCCCGCAGGATCCTGCAGGATCTTGCAGGATCCTGCAAAACCTGGCTGACCCGGGGTTCGGACTGGTCCGGGTCAGTAGATAGCCCGACCAAGAAGGCCGCCCCCTCTGGCCGCCCCCGGGGTGTCGGAGGCCACCTGCACACCGACCCTGGCCGCGTCGCCGAGCCTGTGCCTACGATTGGCGTGTATGAACGTATAATTACGGTGTTTACAGTGGAGACCCATGCTTAGGAACACCCTGCCTGCCTCCAGGGTGCCCCAGGTTTCTTGAGCTTCGATGGCTTTGCCATGGGAAAGCGCGACGCTCCCACACCAGAACTCCATGGGCGTCCTGGTGTCTCATGGGGTTTGGGTATCCTGTGCAAGGGCGCTCTCGAGGGCGCGAAGTTATTCGCGCTTCGCGGTTCGTCTCCGATTCCTCTTCATCCTCCTCTCCTCTCCTGGGAGTTGGGGCGAGAGTGCGAAGCTATTCATACTTCGCGCAGCGCGAAGCGCGAACTTGGGAGCCCTTGCCTGTGGAAGGTTTATCTTTGGATTGGCCTCCGCTGTCTGCCTCCCTGCCCAAGCCAGGAGGGCGCAATGCACCGTCGCTGGGCCCAAGAGGAGCCTGGCCAGGACAGTTGTCGGTGTACCGAGGGCGTCCTCCTGCAGTGCGCGCCGAAGAGGCGGGTGGGAGGAGAGGGAGGAGGAGGAGGAGGAGGAGGAGGAGGAGGAGGAGGAGGAGGAGGAGGAGGAGGAGGAGGAGGAGGAGGAGGAGGCGGAGGAGGAGGAGGGGAGGAGGAGAGAGGAGGAGGAGTAGGAGGGAGGAGGAGGAGGAGGAGGAGGAGGAGGAGGAGGAGGAGGAGGAGGAGGAGGAGGAGGAGGAGGAGGAGGAGGAGGAAGAGGAGGGAGGAGGGAAGAGGAATAAGAAGAAGAAGACGAAGAAGAATAAGAAGAGGAAATATAGGAAGAAGAAGACGAAGAAGAGGAGGAGGAGGAGGAGGCGGAGGCGGAGGCGGAGGAGGCTAAGGAGGCTAAGGACGCGGAGGAGGAGGATGGTGGGAGGAGGAGGAGGAGGATGGTGGGAGGAGGAGGATGATGATGGTTAGAGGTGGAGGATGGTGGGAGGATGAGGATTGTTGTTGTTGGAGGAGGAGGGGAAGGAGGACCAGTGTAAACCCAAGAGTCATCAACGATGTTGGAATTCACCCTCCCTCCAAGCTCCCTCTTCATAGGTCCCATACAACGGTTTATTTCCATTGAGGGAATTGCACCGCCCGCCCTCAAACGAAGTAAGGCGAAAGCCACATTTTGAAAACGGCCCGCCCTCAATCCGTGAAGCTCTCTGCAGTTTTTGAGACGAGTGTGCGCAGCGCTAAGGCGAGAGTCACATTTTGAAAACGACCCGCCCTCCATCTGTGAAGCTGTTGTCACACTTTCAGCTTCAGAGTCATAAGTGGTGAGAAAATCTCAGGCGAAACGCCCGGCCGCCCTAAAAGCTGGCCTCGGGGGCGACAGGGAGAAGTTATCCATAAGGAGAAGGAATGGAGGAGGAGGCCGAGCCCCCCGAGCAGGACCCAGAACAGGCCCAGCTGCTGGCCCAGCGCCCGCAGGGGCAGGCCCTGCAGCGCGATGCGCCAGCGCGGCCGCCCCAGCAGGCGGAGGTCAGCCTTCACGCGAGGAGAAAGCGGCAGCAGGCGCCCCCCCCCCTGGGCCAGTCCCCCTCCTCCTCGTCCCCCCCTCCTCCTCCTTCTCCTCCTCCTGCTCCTCCTCCTCCTCGTCCTCCTCCTCTCCCTCCTCCACCCCCTTCGGGGCAGACGAAATCGGGGGCGTGGCCAGGACCGGGACGATCTCGAAGAAGAAAACACGGCATAAACATAAACTTTTGGCGCTGAATGTAGGGGAGCGAAGAATGACATAAACATAAAAACTCGGAGGTCCGCGCCTGGCGCGCTCATCGCGCCAGGGCGGGGGGTCCAGCGCGGATCCAAGATATCCGCGCGGATCTTCGAGTTTTGATGTTTATGTCACTCTTTGTTCCCCTAGAACCGGGCGGGCCCAGGACAGGGACGATTCGTTCCAGAGCGCCCTGGTACACTCACGGAGCGTTCTGGGGCGCTCTGTCTGGAACGGCCGCGGCGCCCGGTGCATCCTGCAGAACCGCCGAATCTCAACGACACGCCAAATGGTTTAGTCGGGGACGTCCCGCTAAAGGAGGGATCTTCAAGAATAGTAAAAAATAGTCTCGGGACGACGTTTGTGTTATTGTTGATGATTGCGTATGGTTTTTTTTTGAGTTTGTCTTCCAAGCTACGTTTGGAGAAGAACATGCCTGACCTAAGCCAACGGTCAATTTACAACTTGCAACCGACGATATCACCAGCGTCAGCTTTACCAAAATAACCGCATGCCGATGATAATAAAGGGACCCCCCCTTCAGTGTTTAGAGTTGATTATCGTCGCCCTATACAAAATTCAAATTGGGCGGCGAGCGCTGAGGCCGAACTTCATTATCACCTCGAAACGCTATGTTGAGATAGCAACATCAAGCGATGTTGATATAGCAACATCAAGCGAAGCGATCACACTTTTTCAGGATGTGTCAAGCGAAACCAATAATTTTGGGAGGCAGACTCAAACGAAACGAGCAATGTTCTTATTATTCTTCTACTTTCCTCTTCTTCTTTTATATTTCTATCTGTCCTCACGCTCGCCTGAACTTTTTTATCCCTGGGGTTGATTATCCATGGAAAATGAAGCACATGAGCTACCCTACACGAGCACTTAAAACAATCAATTTTCATAAAGCGTTTGTAAATTAAAATTGATAGATTTGGAACTTTGGATTTTTCCTTTCTTCGTCCTCTTCTTATTCTCCTCTTCTTCTTCTTTCTTATTATTCTTCTACTGTATTCTTCTTCTTTTATATTTCTCTCTGTCCCCACGCTCGCCTGAACTTTTTTATCTCTGGGGTTGATTATCCATGGAAATTGAGGCACATGAGCTACCCTACACGAGCACTTACAAAAAAACAATTTTCATGAGAGATAAGCCATTGTTGAGGATATTTCTATGAAAACTAAACGCCAAGGATGTCTCAAAACGTGCTCGGCTGGGTCTCCTCTTGATCATCTCTTACTTCGAGATTATGCTGAGGTCTGCTGGGCTACTTGTATTATCTCTCCCTGAACCCCGAACTTGATTATCCCCTAGTGTTTATTCTCACGGGCATGAGGTTAATATTTGCAGTGAGACGACCCACCCTTGCGTCGAACGGCCGATGGCCCGGGCGGCTCGCAACAATGTACATCCTAGCTCGCACGTGGGGGCGCAACAACTTGATGGTTAACACGTCGTGCGCCCTCTTCTGCGGCCGATTGCTGTCGCGAGCCAGTGTGATTCACAAATTGTTTCCCCGCCTCTGTTAAGCAGGGTCTGTTACGCGGATATATGTGGGAATCGCGCGATTCGTTCGTGAGGATGTTATAATCCGCAAGGTAACGAGCTAGACGATCAGCCACGGAGATGGGACCCATTGGCTCCGAGAACAGCTCAAGCTCAGCAAGAGTTTTAGTTTCCACGCTGAGACACCTGCCTTCGCTTCGGGTTTCATCGGCCGTGTCGGCGAGGCGGGGAGATGCATGCTGCAAGCCATCCTTTCGGATGGTCAGAGAATCTATCGCTAGCGTCCCTCCCGTCGCCCCTGCGACGAAACATACCAGCGCGCGTTGCCGAAGCGCGCCGAGGGCCCAGATCCGGTGAGGAATCGGCCGTGGGGAGGGCGACCGTCGTTCCAACGAGCTGTCGAGCTCACCCGCCTCCCTGGGCCCCGAGGGCGCCCCCAGGATATTCCCGGGACATCCCGGGGACACTCCCAGGATAGCCCCGGGGCCTTCAGGGACACTCCCGGGACTTTCCCGGGACTCCCATGGCGCTGCCGGGTCTGTCCACCGCAGTTTCTGGGATTCCGCCCCCAGGATGCCAGCGGGGGCCTCTCGGGCCTTTCTCGGAGGTTGAACGGGGAGTTGCGGGACCTCCAGGGCTGCTTGGGGCTTCCCGGGGGCTTCTCGGAACTTCCAGGGCCCCTTATAACATTGTTTGGCGCATTAGGGCCGCATTCCGAATCGGAAGGGTCTCTCGTAAATGGTGGGTCGGTTGAACTGGCCTAATTTGATGGAGGCCTTGCGCTTGAACCCGATATGGCAGGTCACGCGGGCGCATGCCTGTGTTTTGGCCCACTGGGTCCAGAAGGCTTGGCGACTTCCGGCCGCCCGCAACGCGTGCACGCTGTTGGTGTCAGGTTGGGGGATCGACGAGGCCACCCCGCAACAAGGTATACCGGATTGCACCGGTGCTGAACTTAAGGTGCTCTTGCGTGGCGGATAGTCCAGCTCATGGGTATGGTGATTAGCACCCACATGCACAAATCGCGCGGTTTCCATCTAGGCCTGTGTAGCACAGCGTGCTCGACAGAGGTTGGAATGCGATTTCTGTGAATCACCGACTGGCTCGCGACATGCGCCGATCCTCCAGCCAGTCGGCAGCAGGGGGGTGTGATTTGTGATATCTTGCGCTCCCATATGGACCCATGATCTATTCAGGCGATCTCAAACATGGATCAAGGGGGCGTGGGTCAACAACAGGTCCTGCTTCCATGGGAATCGCCGCTTTCCGCCGCCGAGCGAGGCGGCGCCGGCCGCCTGGATTTTGGGAAGGGCACCTCCCCCGATCCATGGATTTGGCGACCGCGGGCCAAATCCATGGATCGTTAATCCAGGGTTGCGCGACCCAGGATCTATGCGGGCGCGAGCCGCCCAAGCCATCGGCGGGTCGGCGCAACGGCAGACCGTTCCATTGCGAGCACTGTTTGGTTGAATCTGTCACTGGTGACGCTTGCGATTGCGCGTCCGGTGCGAAGGATGAAACAACTGCCGGCGCCCCGAGAGGAACGCAGGAGGGGCTCAAGTGGGCCCCGTGGGCGAACCAGAGTTCAGTATCGTTCAGCCGATCCTGACCCCCTTCCCCATCCACATCTCGAGCCCCACCGCCTCGCCGCCCTCTTGGATTTGCCCCTCGAAACCCGAAGACAGCAGCCCATATCCCCATCCAGAGTGGGTAAATCGGTCAGTGGGGCCCAGCCCGCGCTAGTGGGGATGGGGATCGGTGTATATATGATCCAGGGTCGAGGGTTCACGGGCCCCCCCCCCAGATGGTATGGTCCCAGGATTCCTCGGGCCCCCCCCCCAGATGGTATGGTCCCAGAGACGACGACGACGACGACGACGACGACGACGGCGACGACGACGACGACGACGGCGACGACTACGACGACGGCGACGACGACGACGACCACGACGACGACGACGACGGCTGCGGCGGCAGCGACGCCGGCGGCGGCGGCGGCGACGACGACGATGACGACGATGACGAAGACGACGACGACGATGACGACGATGACGACGATGACGACGACGAGGACGAGGACGACGACGACGACGAGGACGACGACGACGACGACGACGACCTCTGAACCACCACAGCACCACACCACATCCACGGGGTGGGGAGGGGGGCACCGCAGCGCAGCACCACCCCACGCCCACTTCTGAACCACCACAGCACCACACCACATCCACAGGGGGGGGGGGGTGCACCGCAGCGCAGCACCACGCCACGCCCACAGGGGGGGGCGGGGGGGACCATCGCGCGGGGGGGGGGGGCCCAATGGCATCAGCATTGGGGGGGGGGGGGGCCCAAGCCCTGGACCATATATGATGCTGAAGAGTGGAGAATTTGAAACGGCCGGTGCAGATGTTCCACCCATGTTGGCGTCGGGGCCGTCTTCGGATCCTGGCAGACGCCCCCGAGGCATTCAGAAGGGGCTCAAGATAAGATGGCTTCAAGACGGCCTGGGATGGGGGCCCGGGAACGAGCCGAAGTGGAGAACCAGAAACATAGTTTCACACGCTTTACATATTGGCGGTTAGCTTGTTAGCTGTTTGAGGGCCCCCACGGGCCCCTTCCAAAGTTCATGTCGTGTATCACGTTGCCCGCGCAGGCTTCGTTCGAGCAAGTGATTGGGTTTTATTATGTAATTCTGAACTGGTGTTTCTGTTTTGACTCAGGCCGAGGGGTGCGTCGTGCGCGCACGCGCGCGGCGGTGCTGAGTCAGGGTGTCCGTTGGGCGTGGTCGCGCGAGCGCATACTGTGCATACTTACGCGGGCTGCACTGACGCATTTCCTGAAGAGCGCCCCAAACATCAGTTGTATGTTGTTTGCTCCGTCATAGATCTCACAATTTGTTCTTAAGATGGGAGTTTAATGGAAGGTGGATGTCTTTCAAATATTTCCAGTCGTCACACCCCCAAAACCCAAACTCGGGTGCGATGAGGGTTTGGTTTTGGAATTCATGGTTTCAGATGTGTCCCCGACCGGTTTTTTCTCACTCTCATCCCGCTCCCTCCCTCCTCCTTCTATCTCCCCCCTCTTCCCCTCCCCCCCGCCCTCCGCACCCCCCCCGCCCACTCCATCCCGCTCCTCCCTTCTCTCCCCTTCTCTTTCCTCCTCCCCTCCCGGTGCCCCTCGGCAGAAAGAGTGGCCGAACCGCCTGTGTCGCATCACAGTCGCGACGCCGCCCCCGACACCCCCGCGCCCCCGAGGAGGCGGAGCAGGCCAGGGAACTCCAGGAGAGGATGCTGCGCGAGGACCGCGCGGAGGGGGGGGCCCCCCGCCCCGAGGGCGGGAGGCTTTGGGCCGCAGGCGAGGTCTGGCTCCCGGCCCCCGACTTCTCCATAACAGATCCGCCGACGACGACGAAGACGACGACGACGGCGACGGCGACGGCGACCACGACCACGACCACGTCCAGGGTTTAGGGTTTAGGGTTTAGGGTTTAGAGTTTAGGGTTTAGGGTTTAGGATTTCGTGGGACATTTTTCGCTTACATGTCGTGTCCAGCAAAAAAGCAGGAAGAAGACGGAACGGAGGAGAACGAACACACACAACGAAAACGAACGTCGGCGTTTAGCTCGAGCCCTGGAAGCATCAAGCCGCTCAGCGGAGGACGGGAACTTGGGGGATACACGCATCCGTGTGGACGGAGGCCTCCCGGCCGTATATCCCCGAGTTGGGCTCCACATTTCTGCTCCTCCCGTTCTTACTCCCGTTCCTCCTCCTCCACCTCCTCCTCCTCCTCTTCCCCATTCCTCCTCCTCCTCCTCCTCCTCCTCGTGGCTCCAGGTGCCAGGATAACGCTTCCAGGTGCGGAGGGGTTATCGTTTCGCCGGAAGGGGGGGGGGCGTCTTAGTTGTTTCCTGAGGTTACAGGTGTCGACATATCCCCCGTCAGCGGGGCGCCGAGCTCGCGACACGATGCGGGGACTCACCGCCTACCAATCAGGAGGGAAAAATACACAGACACAAGTAATCGTCGACCCCAAGAAAATATGGGAAAATATTGGAAGTGGGGGGCAAGACAAAAACACAGGAAATATGGGGAAATATGGGGAATCCTGTTATCTTTGTGTATTTATTCGTGTGTCCCAGGGCCCCTTCAACCAAGCCATCCCAACCCAACCCGAAGGCCCCGATTGGCCCTCCATGTCCGGTGGGTGGGGGTCGGGGAACGTTGAAAAAACACATCTGAAGTCCTGACCCCCCCAACCCGAAATTCGGGCGTCATTCGGGTCTTCGGGTTGGGTTGGGGTGGTCTGGTATAGGTAGTCAGGACTTGTCTGCGACCACTGCCTAGGGATCGATCTTCGAGTACCTCGGCAGGCGGTGGACATGGTTCTGCTCGGCGCTCCCTCGGGGGCAACATAGCCTTAAGTCGGGCCAGGAGGAATATTCAAAAATAGTCAAAACACAGCTCGGGTACGACTTTTAGACTAACTCTTGCTATCTTGGGATATTGTTCTTGACTATCTCTGACTTCTCGCCAAAAATCCGCCTGCAGAGGGGGACATGCCCGACCCAAACATGCCCTCCCCACCGCCTGCCGAGGCTCCGAAGCCCGCTCTCCCAGGCGGGAGCCCCCGCCTCGAGCCTGGCCTCTCCTCCGGTCCTCCCCCGACGCTGCGGCCTCCACCGGTCAGCTACGCGCAGAGGGGGGTGGGGGGGGGGGGGGGGGGCTTCTTAGAAGCACCCTTGCTCCTCAGAAGGCGCGGGCCTTATCTGTAGATGTAAGGCCGGCGCCTTCTAAGAGGCAGCCTCCTTCTAAGAAGCCCTCCCCCCTCCCTCCACCCCCCAGTGCGCGCCGCCAAATCGGGTCCTCCGGGGGGCGGCTCGAGCTTCGAAGGCCGCGCTGCTGCGATGCATCGGGCCCTCCGCCGCTGTCGCGAGCCGCGGGGGCGACCTCGAGCGGCGCACCAGCCGTGCCGGCCCAGGCGGCGGCGGCGCGCCGCTCGAAGAGCGCTCGAAGAGCTCGGGCATAGCCAGGACCCCAGGTAAGGGGACCCAGGTGACAGTAGGGCCCTGGAGCCCCTAAATGGGCCAGACTCACGAAACCAGGTCTGCCGCAGCTGGTGTGTTTGTTCGGGGGACGGCAGTTCCGGTGAGTGGAACGGAGCGGGGGGGCGTCCCCCAGTACACGTCACTAAGCCAGGCTCCTTTAGACCCAGTTCTGCCAACGCCCGAGAAAAACACGGGCAAAGCGGCAAACATCACGAGAAGCACGCGGCCTGGTCGCTCTGTGTGGGCTTCAACGGGGCGCTCTCGTCGCCACGGCTGGATCCGCCTCGCGAGGTCTGGTCCGGGAGCGCAAACCCAGGACATGGGGGGTGCACTCGTTGATGCTCGACAGGCCTCCGACGTTTTGAGCAGGGACAATCCGAGACGGGTATACATATATACATATATATATAAGTATATATACATCCCCTGGGAAACGTGCTTCGGCCCAGACACAGCACAACAAAATCCAGAACCTGCGGTTCGCCTCTGACGACGATGAGAGCAGACGTCGACGAGAGGGCGCTTGTTTACTGAGCCGGCTCGCGGACACCGCGAGGAGTGCCTGAGGGGCAGCAGCACCCCGAAGAATGCCGGAGAAGAGCTCACCTCATCTCCGGCCTGGTTTAGATTTGCCAAATTACTGGACCCCAGCAGCGCACAGGAGGCTAGTGTAGGTCAGTGGCACAACATCGTCGACGACACACAAGGGGGGGAGACGAAAGAAAGAGGGAAGGAAGAGGGGGGAGAGGGGCGAGAAAAGAACTGCAGAAGCACTAAGATGAGGGATATACCGTGCAGGCACAAATCACATCCCCCGGGAAACGTGCTTCGGCCCAGACACAGCACAACAAAATCCAGAACCTGCCTTTAGCCTCTGACGACGATGAGAGCAGACGTCGACGAGAGGGCGGTTGTTTACCGAGCCGGCTCGCGGACACCGCGAGGAGTGCTTGAGGGGCAGCAGCACCCCGAATAATGCCGGAGAAGAGCTGACCTCATCTCCGGCCTCGTTTAGATTTGCCAGGATTCCCGGCACGCCGAGCGATAGCGAGGGTCTCACTGACCACCTGCAGCAGGCGCTCTGAGAGGAGTGGACGGATCGTGCAGCCTGCCGCAGGAGAGCGTCTGAGGGTCGGGCCAGCGAGCGCACCAAGCTAGCTGGCTTCGTGTAGATGCGGCAGCTCTCGAGCGACACCCAACGACCTCGTTGCTGGATGTCCTCAATCGCGACTTTGTGCACCAAGGAGTCGTCGCCAGGCCCGGCATGGCGCAGACCATGGGCGACCATCGGGAAGTCCAGGGCCTTGCTCATCTCTCTGTAGAGCCGCTCCAAGCTGTGCAGCGTGAGGGCTCGGAAGACGGGCTTGTCCGCTGGGAGGTCGCGGACTAGCAGCTCCAGCAAGTCACAAACCCAGGCCTTGTCATGGGCCCCCACCACCACGCTGGCGTCGAACCGTCTGTTCTTGGCCGGCGGCCCGCCGCGGGGGGCGATCGTCAGAGCCCAGCCCTGGGCGGCGGCCCCACGCCGCGGCCGGCTGACCGCCGCGCCCACCAGCGCCAGCCTTTCGGAGGGCCGGAGGTAGCAGCCCCCGCTGATCCAGGCGTGAGCGGCGGCCATGGCGTGGAGGAGCAGGTCGTCGCCGGCGGCCCGGCCGATGAAGTAGTCGATGGCTAAGCAGACCTGCTCCATGCACGGCGGGTCTCGGCAGTGCTCGGGCGAGGAGCGGGCGAACCCCAGCAAGGCGAGCCGCGAGCGAGGCAAAAGGGAGGGGTCCCGCCGAGGCCACTCGTTGACGAAGGCGACCCCTTGGAAAGCGTACCTCGCGACCGTGATGCGGTCCCCCGCCTGGTAGAGCTTCTCGATGTAGCTCTCGAGGGCGCGGTCCCAAGCGTCCATGCTCTTGGCGCTCGGGACGTCGCGGCCCAGGGAGCGCACCACGTCGGCGTAGGCGGCCTCGTGGCGCTTGCGGGTGACGGGGGAGACCGTGAGCTTCTTGAGGGTGCCAGGCTGCTCGGCTTCGTGCTGTCGATGGCGCTGTCCGCGCCGTCGATTACGAGTCTCCACCTCGATGAGCACGGAGGATGCCCAGCTCCTCACCCAGGTCGGCCCCGTCCCAGGAGCGGCTCGCCCTTTCCCAGCCGAGCGAGGCTCGGCGCGGGAGGACCGGGAGCGCCACTGCGGCTCCTGGCATGGCCCTGGACTCGCCGGCCGCGCGCCTGAGCTCGTCCTCCCACGAGGGCGCCAGGAGCTGCTCGTCGGCGCGGCAGAAGGCACTTTGCGGGGCGGCATCCCCCAGCACCCGGGCCAGAGCACGACGAAGAGCTGGAGGGTAAGCCGCTGCATACGAGGTCCTCCATCGCCAGCCGATGCCCTCGACAAAGACGGAGCCTTGCAGGATGACATGTCGTAGGCATCCCGGACAGCGGCGGATGGCGTCAGAGAAAATGGGCAGGTTGCTGCACTGGCCCGTGGGTTTCTTCCAGGCGGCGCCGTAGGCACACATGTGGATCTCATGACGCTCGCAGCCCAGTCGTCGAAGTTGCTTCCTGAGCGGCTGCCAGTTCCAGAGACCAGAGGACCACGGGTTCTCCAGCACCACGAACGCCTTGTGAGCGAAGCACGCCTGGAGAATCCGCACAGTGAATCGGGCACGCTCCAGGCCGTCCTTCTCGGTGCGGCCCGAAGGCTTCGTTCGTCGGGCGGGGCTCCAGCGGGTGCACGGAGTGCGGAGGGCCACGGCCCAGGCGCGGCCGCTCCGGACCCAGCCGACCACCACGTCCGCGACGGCGGGCACGGTGATGTTGAAGTGCCCCCCGTTCGCGATGTCGATCGGCACGGCCGCGGCGAGCCCCGAGAGCGCCACCGCCGCGGAGAGCCGCATGCACCCAGCGAAGACCTCCAGGAATACCTCCCCTCGTCGGAGCAGCCCGGGCGGAGCGCAGGGCTCAGGCCTGGGATCCCGCACCAGTCGGGGCGCCCGCCCCGACCGAGGGTCCCTGTCGGCGGCGCCGAACGCAGCCCCCGCGGCCGAGAGCTCCTCGGCGCGTGCCGCCGCTGCCTCAGCCGTCGGCATTGCGGCCCCAGCCCCAGCCTCGGGGGGGGCGGCGGCGCCCTCGGCGGCAGGCCGCAGGCGGAGGCGGCCTTCGTCCAGGCCCTCCGCGCCTCGGCCACGGCGAAACTCGCCTGGCCGAAGGTGCGGCAGCCGCGAGGCGTAGTCGCTTGGGTTGCGCTCGGTCTCGATGTGTCGGCGGGCCCAGC